TGGAATCTCCCATCTGGACTTGGGAGAGTCTAGCCCATACATTGTGCAGATGTTCCTGTACACAATGCCCGCTACTCAGTTGTGCCATTCCGTGTATGCTGTTCCTGCCTGCATCTTACACCCTGCCCCTATGTGTTGGACTATCTCTGAGGCCTCCCTGCCCCTTGGGTCCTGTCTAGTGTAGTAGGCCCCTGCTTCTATGGATCTGGTGCTCAGTGCCTGTTCTTGTGGTGCTATGACCAGTGCCTCAGTGCTGTCTTTTAGTCCAGCCCTTTCCAGCCACCGATAGGATTTCCCAATGTCAGCCACCTCAGCTATCTGTTGATGGTACATCCCGTGCGGGGGCTTGTCTTGCCATGGCACTTCCTCATATATATCTTTTGCTATTGCTGTTGCTATCATTTTTATTGGTGTTGGTTCCATCAACATGCAGGTGCTTTACAGAGTGGAAAAGGTATTGGAGGTCATATTCCTCCTCCACGGAATGCACAGCCTAAAACTTAACAGAGAAGCAAGGAAAGGATCTGAAAACAAATTTAAGTAAGAAGAATCAGTAGTTATTTTGGATACTTAAGCTAAGTTGCTGTATGGTAGAGGTGGGAAAGGCACAGTCCATGAAAAGGAATATGATGGAACTGGAAAAGGCAGAATGGGGCAATCAAATTGAACAGGGGCTCAAGCCCTCAAGCACTTTCTCTACAATATTTGGGATTCTTTCGCTTGAGGAAAAAAAGTGACTGAATGGGCATGATTGATTGAGAAGGATAAAATCATGCATGGCGTGAGAAAATGGAAGGAGATATTATTTTTCTGTCTCTCCCAAACACTAGGATCAGATGTCATCTAACGAGACTGATTGGAAAAACATTTAAGACAGACAAAAGGAAGCACTTCTTCGCACAGTGCATAATTACCTGTGGAATTCATTACCACAAGGTGTGGTGATGGCCACTAATTTGGATAATTTCATAAAAGGATTGCATCAGTTCAGGATTGAATCAATTCAGGGAGGATAGGTCTGTTGAAGGTGATTAGTCTTGAACTTCAGTGTAGTTCTGAGTTGCATATTTCCAAATACCAGTTGTAGGGAAATTGTGGTGGGAGAGAAGTATCTCCATCTTCCATTTGTGAACACCCTAGATCAGTATTGTCCAAACTTGGCCACTTTAAGATGAGTGGACTTTATGCTGGCTGGGGAATTCTGGGAGTTGAAGTTCACTCATCTTAAAGTGGCCAAGTTTGGACAATACTGCCCTAGATGCATCTGGTTGGCCACTGAGAAATAAAATGCTGGATAAAGTTGGGCCATGACTTGATACAGCCCATTCTTATGATTGTGGGCCATGTACACCCTTGTCCATTTCTACCCCCTCCCCATCTCACCAATGATTCCCAGATTTTCCAGAATTACACTGTTGAAATTTGATGACATTTGATAAAATATGGCTGTGTTATTTCTCAGGGCTTTTTTTTAAGGGCCTTTATGAGGCTTAGTAGATCCATTTTACTTCTTAAAATCCTTAAAAGTATATTGGGTTGGGGGTGGGGGTGGAGAAAAAAAAAGGGCTGAGGTACCTTGGTATTTGAGGAGAAGAGAACAGTGGGCTTCTCTTCTAAAGAAATTATCCACCTCTGATGTATCCATGGCAACTGTGTCTTTGAGGTGTGAGGACCACATTGCATTTTTATTCCCCACAACAGCAAACCTGAAGAATAAGATGGGTTAACAGAGAGTTATCAGCCCAGAGTCATTGTGACTGAATGACTGAGGGGGTGGACTAGAACCTGGGTCTTCCCACTCCTAATCCAACACTGAACTACTACACTACACTGGTTATCAGAGGGAAGTTGGAAGTGACTTCTATTAGATGCCTACTGTGTGTTTTTTATGCATTGAATCATCTTCAAGTCATCTCTTTCCAACAGCTTCTTTGAGCCTTTTTTCAGGTGAATCAACACAAAGAGTAACTTAATAGCCTTGGTGGTTGTGCGTCCTGGACTCTGACTTTAACTAAGCCTACTCTTCTCCCAGGCCCTTGCAGACTATTAGAGATTCTTGCCCCCGCCCCATCCTCTCATGCTTCAGTTTGTTCCCAAAAGACACATGCTGTGATGCAAAGGAGAACATGTTCCTACTGCTTGGAAGTATGTTTACAGTAGAGTCAAAGGGGCAGTTTCCCACTTGGTGAAATGGGGAATGCAAAGGAGTTGAGCAAAGCAAGATTGGGCAGCTTTGTAAGTGGACTCAGCAGGACCTGACTCTGACAACCAGAGGTTGCAGGCATGGAATGTGCTATGAGCCGCTGAGTGCAAAGAAGAGTTGGCCTCCCCAGTACCTGAAAAGCAAGTCATGAGAATCCAATTTTTTTCAAGATCTTGAATTCTGCACTCAGTTCCAAAGGTCCTCTTTGTTTGATGTGATTGTATGAAGAATTTGTGTTTCAGGATCAGCTGAGACATCATCCCAAAGCTGGACAGTTTTGTAGCTACACAGACAAACTATGATTTAGAATTGCTTTTCTACTTTCATGTGCTCAGAATTCAGGTGCTAATGAAAATGTTGCACAGAGTCATCATCTGTGTTCACACATCACACTAAACAATAATGCAGCTTATTTGTTATGACTTTGCATATAGCGTGAGCCAAGCCATTGTTGTTTTGAAAGCACAATTAATGGGGTAGAATTGTTGTTTGTTTAATAAACCATTGTTAAGCACACCATGGTTTAAAACAATGTTTGAATTAGCACAGCCATGGGCTTCAAATTCACAGCAAGACATGGTTTCATTTTTGTGAGCCATTCAGACAATTCTGGCTTCAGAGCAAAGCAACTTCAAATCTCATTAACTATGATCTGATCTGAAATCTAAACCTAGCCTTCTTCTTTGGGGGATGTTGTGCATCTTCAGATGTAAATATTTTAGCTATGGGCCATTTTACCCCCTTTTGGTTGAGAATGAAAAAAAAATACACCTCATTGACATTATTTTTTCATTCTTGCATGTATATTGGTTACATGTCCCTTTTTTTTCCTAATATCTTGGAAGGATGTATCTTTCTTTGCCCCCTACTGATACTGTTCAGAAAAAGCATTATTTATAGTAGTGGAATTAGCTGGTTTTAGATTCTGGATTTACTTCAGGGTTAGGGTTAAGATCCAAAAATTAAATAAAAACTATTTTAATTTCTGTATTCCTGCAAGATTGTCAAATATCATAAGATATGATTAGTTTGGTGTGGGTTCCTCCCTCAAGGCATATTTCTAAGTAGCTTTTGCAGTCCTTTCAGACTTGCCAGATATCTAAACCAAATTACTATCCCCAAACTAAGGCAGGTTGCACTTCCATCAACAATTTTAGAGGGAAGATACAAAGGCACCCAATTCAAATCCAGACTACGCCCATGGGGAGAAGGAGCCACTGAAACCACCCCAACATGTCTTATTATATTGCTTATTTTATGCTGACTCGTCATGAGTTCTTAGCCCCATCTTTAAATTACCTGCTCATTCCAATCAGTTCTATTTAAAACTCTTATTTTTGCACTCAAATTACTCTATTTCTTTAAGTACGGACAAATGTTGTCGTGTAATATGTAAGACACGGAGCAGTTTGATTGATTAGCTTACCTAATTCACATTAATCAATACTAGTTTTATGTGTGCAATGTGTTTTATGGACTGGTCATGGAGCACCATAAAGAATCTCTCTCTCTCTCTCATATGATTTCAGTGGTTTTACATGAATTTTCGAGGCTGAGATTTTAGCCATATTAACATCTTATTATTTGGCATCTGCCTCCTGGAAAGACTGCAGGCCCCTGGTTTAATGAATTGCGGGGAATCCTGTTCAAACAGCCTTTAGTTTTATTGCATTTCCTTTAAAAGATGGCACTCCAGCTTGCTGCATTTGAAGTCCCTCTAGAGGGAGGGTCATCCTTGAGAGCCCCACAGCCCAGCGCTGTCTGCTTGTGACTGACAATAATTCCTCCCCCATCTCTTCTTTTGTAGAACGAGACTACAGCAGTTTGTGTGACAAGCAACCCATCGGCCGACTGCTTTTCCGCCAGTTCTGTGAGACCCGGCTGGAACTCCTACGGTGTATCCACTTCCTGGATGCTGTGGTAAGGCAAGCGTAGTTTCTAAAGTGTGTCTGGCTCTAAGAAACACTCAATATGCTGAGCTAGCCATTGTGGGACAATTGGATTCCCTTTGGCGACTTCTGTTTGAAGTATCAGAAAGCTTTGGAAGGCAAGGGATCAATGGAGGCATTCTAACTCAGCAGCAAAGTCAATGGTATCCTTGGTATCTCAAGTCTAGAAGAGTGATGGGAAAAGACCCTTGATACCATACGCAATATTGAGCTAGGTGGGCCATGGTTCATTTTCTCTCCTCCTCCTCCTAAAGCATCAGGAATGCTTTAGCTGGGTGCAAAATGCCTGCTTTACATGCAGTTGGTCATGGGGTTGATCCCAGGGGTCTCCCACTGAAAACCAGTGGGATTTGGTGGCAAGTGGTGACTTTGCCAAGTCTTATGGAGAGGTTCTTCAGCTTGGCTCCTCCATCCTTTGCCACTAGTTGGAATTTGGAGAATCCATCCTGGGTGTTTCTCATGGTAAAATGGCTGCCACCTAAGAAGCTGTTTCTGTCCAGGCCCGCATAAGCCATTGTGGCTGTTTATCACAAGGCAAAATGATGAGGTAAAAAGAAAAATAGCGTAGCAAGAAGGCTAAGATGGAGGCTTGTGCCTCCAGTGCCAAACCATGTATTTGCACTCACACGACACAACCAAATGCAAGCTGGGGACACTCAGAAAACATACACATCTATACTACCCTTCCATCAGCACACACACATATCAAGGTAAACCACACAGTGCACACTCAGACGTACATGCAGAAATATTCCCCAACCCCCTCTATTCTTAAGCCTTTCACTTACTACCTCCAGCTTATCTTAGTCTTTTCCTATGGCATTATATTTAAGGAACCTCAGAGAAAAAAGTCATTCACTTGTGCCCATCATGGGTAGATGGTGGTCTCTTGAGGGTAGGCTTGGAGGTTCCCATCCATCTTCTCCCAGCTGGCTAGTAAACACAATGCAGGTTAGTAACTTTCGTGGCTTTATTCACATGGCTGCCTTAATCACTATGGTGTGGGAGATCCCTTCCTAGATAGGCATATGTATTTGTAGCTTTCTAGTTGGAAGCGTCCAGGTTTGAAACTGAAAGGGGAAGTACAAAATCAGCCACTCTTTTGAGATATTCTGCTCACCAAAATTCTAACGGCAGCATTTTAATCTTCTGTTCTTTACAAACCCTCTTCCTGTCAGTACTGCCTTCCTGATTTTCTTGTAGAAGGAAGACCATTTTTTAAAAGGGGGAGGGTGAGGGGGAAAAAACCACCCAAATTCTTGAAGAGTGACCTGTGGGAGAGGACTGAGAGGAGTGTGTGTTTTTCAGCCCATTCTAAAGTCAACGGTGCAAAAATTCCATTGGAATGACGTGTAATTTAAAAGTCAGCGCTTCATCTGAAATACTATCCTAGTGTTTTTCTGGGTTGCAACCCCCACTCATGTCTTTCTTTTGAAAATTTTGCTAAGTCTGAAAGCATCTTAACCTCAAGCAGAACAAACCATAGCTCAGGGTTTCTTCCACTCATTTTCATCTTCAAGTTCCCTCTTCCACATCTTCTGAACTAAGGCAAAATTACAATCAGAAATTGATCTGTTTTTGCTCCTGGGCCAGGAGGCCTTTTCAGATGCTTTTTAAGAAGGGACATCAACCTCATAAAACACTCTGTGTTTCTCATTACCCAACTGTTTATGCAATTGAACATTGTTCTCTCTGTCTCTCTCTCTCTCTTTTCCTCTCAATTGGAGGGATTTGTTGAACCTTGGGCCTTTTTCTTATTTTCATAAGCTTGTTGAATGTGAGTGACAGGAATGCCGATCTGGTCAGCTGGCTGCAAAATGGGAAACATATGTTTGGAAAGCAATCCTCCGTAAGGTTTGGACTCTCGCAGCCAGCAAAAGCCTGAGTGATAAAAACTCATTGTTTATTTAAATCTGGTTCAGGAACTTGACCAGGCCAGGGGATCTTTTCTCAGGGAAATTAAAACCGGTGAGCATCAACTGCTTCAGGAGTGGTGTTGAAGGATCTGGAAGGACTTCTGCTTTTCATGTTTCATAGTTCAGCACCCTGTTTTCCCACTCTTGTTTCCAAGTTATTAGAAATGCGTACAGCTACAATCCCAAGAAATCTGTCCCTTAGATTTGGGGGGTGGGGGGGGTTATCAACCATTTGTACCCTGCTCTGTAGCCTTAAAAGCTCCCAGAATAGCTTATATAATAACAAAAATTGGACAGCTCTCAGAATTGTGATCGCAAAAACCCTCCACACGCAGAGGGAAAAGTAGACAAAGAAGGCAGGGGAAAATAAGAACATTCAGGTACCAGATTTTAAAATGCTATGGTTGCTATAATGGAACTGGGCTGCTTATAGCAGTCCAGATGGTACCATTGTCTCCTACGTCAGTGATCCTGTTGCTTTACCATGCCAGATCAGCAGCCTTAATATCTTTTACAGCAGGTGGAGATTTTCCCCCACCCTTTAGGTTCTCAGTAGTCCTTCTTTCTGTGCCTTCAACAGAGTTGACTCCTGGTGACTACCTGAACAAGTCCCTGTAGTTTTCCTGGCAAGATTTCAGAAGTGGTTTGCCATGGCCTTCTTACTAGGGCTGAGAGACCAACAGAAGAGAATATATGTAGCTCAGGGTTGAACGGTGAAGTCCTTGGGGTTCTCTGAGCTTGATTGTTTTCTTGCAGACATTTCATTACCCGGCTAGGTAACATCTTCAGTGCTAGAAGGAAGTTCTAAACCCCACTCCCTTCTAGCACTGAAGATGTGACCTAGCCAGATAACGAAACATCTGCAAGAAAACAACCAAGCTTAGAGAATCCCAAGGACTCCACAGGGCTGAGAGAGAATGACTGGCCCAAGGTCCCCCAGCTGTCTTCCTGCCTAAGGTGAGACTAGAACTCACAGTCTTCTGGTTTCTAGCCTGGTGCCTTAACCACTACCCAAACTGGTTCTCTCTCAGTGGTTAGCCAGGACTAAATTTATGGTCTAAGAAAACTTTTTCCCAGCATGGCACTCTGCAATCAGAGTGAGTTTCAGCTTTACCATTTCCTGACAGCGTTTATAGTAGCGATAACTGCAGAATAGGATCATTCAATTTGGTCGGGTTTTTTTCAGCAAGCCTACAGGGAATCATCTGCTGTGTATTTAGTGCAAGGCTAGATTCTTGTTCAATAGTGAACAGTTTGAATGAGACCAAAATATCTTTAGCCTGATTAATGATAATAGTTCAGTATTGCAGAGTTGGTTTAACTAGGTTTAGAACTGCTTCAGGAAAAAGCCTTCCAGTTATAACATGCTGCTTCTTTTAGTAGTATCCATCTCACACATCTGGAAATCACTGTCTGGGCTCACACGTTGTCCTCAACCATGGTTTCTTGAATAAGCCACAACTGGCTGAACTTACATATACTGCAAATCCATAGACCATAGTTTAAAAACATTAATTTTAGGTTCACACAACATGCTAACTCAAGCCAAACAAATCACACTGTATGAACTCAGTCACTATGTTTATAGAAAACAGGGCTAGGTCCAAAGTTGGTGAGGGCTTTAACAGGGTGCCATCTTGGGGTGCCTCCTATCTGAACATTCAACAGCATGGCAATGTCACCAATGGTTACCATCTTTATTTCAACAGCTGCCATTGTTTTTTTGCATTTAACCCATAATGCACTGGCATTAGAAGTTTGGACCCACTGCAATCTGGGAAAATAAAACTGGCTGCGATAGCTGGCTGCCGCTAGAAGAAGAATTTTACACGTATCACCAGCAATGTAGGCCCCAGTCCGTGTCCAGTCACGCCTGTAACAGGATGCCTGGCCAGAGCCGTTCCAGCAGCGGCACTGTTTATAGCCTGCACAGAAATCTCTGGGGCTCTGTCTTTTATAGTCTTCCTGAAGGCAGTTTCAATATGCCTTTAGTTAATAAATTTTCTGCCATGATATGGTGCTTATCTTTTCATCAGAGTTAGCTTTTATCTGCTGCTGTTCCCCATTCCTTTCTTTTATGACGATGGAGTGCTCTTTTATATTGGAGCTGTGCACTTGCCCGCTTAATTTGTGCGCCGTTTTGTTTGCCCTTGGGGCAAGGGAGCAGGATAAAAATAATTAATTTGATTGTTGGGCTGTTAGATCTCTCTCCTTCTAAGTTCCTGCTGTTCTCTGTATGCATTCTCTAGCCAGGATGCCTTGCGTGTGAATTCAGGTTCCCAGTCCTGCTGCAGATCTGCGGCCCCTCTAGCAAATCATTGCCCCCTTGATTATTTTGTGGCTCAGCAGTGCAGGGTCTATAACAACCCAGTCTTTGGTTTCTTCCATTTTTCTCCCTTCCTCAAAGTCTCCCCAGACCCAAGACTCTTCTCCTGCTTTCCTAGCTGCTGACAGTCTTGTACAGTAGCAACATGGGGAGTTTTCATCAAGTACCTCTGTAGCTGGTGACAGAGCAGAGATCATCCATCTACTCCCCTGGGAGTTGTTGTACATTCCTTCCCATTCCTTTCTCATGGCCATTGCCCAGCGGTCTTTTCAGAAACAAAAACACAGATGTCATTTGAGTCTTGAGAGTAGTGATGACCTGCAAGCCATCCCATGGATACGGACTTTCTAATTTGGATCTTCCGGTTTTTTAGAAAGCGGAGAGACATTATAGCATTTTATTTAAGGCGGAGAAAGAAGTCCACCTGTATCCACCTGCTTGTATTGGCCACTAGAGTTCCACCTCCTTTCTCTTGCTCTTGAAAAGTAGTGCAAAGCGTTTTCTTACTTGACTGGATTGCAGTGGTCTGCTGAAATTGGTTCTGTCTGGTGCACGCTTGGCCAATTTACCTGCCTCTCCCCCTGTCACTATTGGGACAGGATGAGGACTTGTTGTCTTGTTTCTCTTCTGTTGCTTAGCAGCCAGCCCTGTTCCAAAACAATGGGGAGGGGATCTGTGGGTCAGATTTTTTAATAGCAGCAGTGTGCTCTTCTCCACTGTCAGACAAACAGCTTGTGGTCCTGTGGAAATAGGCCAGGAAGGGGAGGGAGTGGGATACTAGAGAGGCAAAAAGAATGTGGGGGGAGGGGGAGTTAAAGGGAATCTCAGGCAGGAACTCTAAGGCTGAACCCAGAAGCAGACCTGAACGCAGGGCCACACTTTTGGCTTCATGTCTCAATTCCAGGAGTTCCCTTTAGGATTCCACCTTGGGAGATGCCGAAATCCTTGCTTATTTCTTGGTAGGGGTGGGAATGAAGCATTTCTTCAATCATACTGTGGCATCAGTGCACAGATTATAATGCTTCACCATTCTGGTGTGAGAAGCCCAAGTTCCTTCACTTGGGAGTCCTTGGGGTTCTCTGAGCTTGGTTGTTTTCTTGCAAGCGTTTCATTACCTGGCTAGGTAACATCTTCAGTGCTAGAATGGAATGGGGTTTGCTCAGAGATGAACTGAAGATGTTACCTAGCCGGGTAACAAAACACTTGCAAGAAAACAACCAAGCTCAGAGAACCCCAAGGACTCCACAGTTCAACCCTGAGCTACACATATTCTCTTCTATTGGTATTGGCACTTTGTCTGCTGTTGCGAATGGGATGTGGCCCTGCTAGGATGTCCACAGGTCCTGGTCATTCTTGAGTCTTGCTCTGGACCACTGCTGGATCAGCTCTGAGCTAGATGAGGAAACGTTGCATCTTGCAATTCCCAGGCATTTGTAATATGGCTATTTCCATCCCCTCCAGAACCAAACTAAGGAGGTGGTGAAGCTCAGTGCTTGAGGGCATGCTTGGTGTTGCAGGACATTGGGTGTTCATTCCTTAACATCTTCAGATACCTAGGATGCTTAAGAACCTAGCCAATCTTTGCTGAGCTTGAAATACTAACAGGATGAGATCTGGTCAGTATTTGGATGGAAGAGCTCAAGAAATCCTAAGGCTAGTAGGATGTAGGCTAGTCTTGGTAATCAGTAAAAACATCCTAGAAGAAGCTTGACTCAGGTACTTTATATTTTTGTGGTTTTTTGTTTGTTTTAGATCAGGCCAGATCCTTCCCTGAGAGTCTAGTATAAATATGTATGGAAAATTGGTGACATTCAAGTTTTTATACAAGTAAACCAAATTTAGCAACTCCACATGTGTTTCATCACAGTTGTCATTGTGAACTGGTAGGCGAAATGTGTTCCATCCATGGTCCCAGGCATCTTGCTGATTAGTGAGCTATAAACATCCCCCTTCCCTCAGGGAAAAGCACTAGTATTTGTGCTTTCCCATCTGCTGGACTAAAGTGGGGGCCTGAAAATCTCATCTGGCATCTGGTGTGTAACACCCAAAAAGTTGTTTATCCTTGATATAGGAATACCTGAAGCACACTCATGTGCCAAAAGAGAGCTGTTTTCAATCCAGGGTGCCATCCCCATGTATATGCACATAGATGAACATATTAAGGTTAAAGACACTGGAAACAATGTGGCACTAGAGAAAAGCAAACCTAAAAAATCCTTTTACTATTGGGAAAAAAAAATGCTTGCAGCTTGATACATTCCAGGAAGTATACAGAATAGACGTGTTTGCAAAGATGCACAAAATCATGTATACATTTTTTCCTGTTGAATACATAAATATACTGATCAATACTTGGAACTGGTTTGTGGCTTAGCAAGTTGTGTGAACCCATTCAATCGTGGTTGATTCAATTAGCCATAAATAAGCAATGCAGCAGTTGGCATAATGCGAACCCAGTCAATATAAGGCAGCCTTAAATTCACAAAAGTAACTTGTGTCATGTTTTGGTTCTTTACTAGCTCACTAAGTAGTTAGTAGCTTATGACTTCTTTTTGACCTCAGAGAAGAGGAGAGATGCTGGCTTCTTTTCAAGTTAATAAAGAAACAGTCCATTTCCTTCCTCTGCAACAGCATTGCAACCGAGAGGGCAAGGGGAAGAAATAGAGAAGCCCATTCACGTAGCTGATGCAATAATACACATCTGTGGGTGTGGAATTTCTTGATGACTGTGGCTGGCCAACAAGCCAGTTATTAAATACAAAGCAGGAATAACATTTTTCCAGAACTGCACCTGAAATATCACTCTTGCAGTTCAGCAGATGTGGCAATTCTGGAGACAAACCAAAAGGGAAGGCAGAGGAGCAACCAATGTTTCATCCGCAGCTCACCACTTTATCTCAGGACAGAGGTCTCTTCAGGTTCTTTTCCGTGAATAGCCACTTGAGCTTTTAAAAATGAAAGAAAGCTGGAAGACCTCAGGGACTGAACCTGGACTTGGGCATACAAATAGGGCTCTCTAGTTTTGAGCTAGGTTTCCTCCCAGCCTGCCCAAAATGTGGTTTGTGAGCCAACAGAGAATGAGGAGAAACATAAAGGCTTGAGAAAAGCCTGATAGAGCCAAGAAACACCCCCTAGATGTGTGGGATAGATGTTCTCTTTGGCCTCCAGAATCAAAATCCCAGCCCTGAAGGATGGTGTCCTTTTCAGGTGGAGCCTCTGTTATGGTGACCCTCTTTTCTTCTTCCCCAGGCAGAATATGAGCTTTCTCCAGATGAGAAGCGCAAGGAAATGGGAGAAGAGGTTATTCGGCAGTTTTTCCACAAGGAGGTTGGTATACGGTCTTCACAGGATAAAGGTGGGGGATGACATGGCCCCTGTGCAAAAGTGGTTCTATACATGGAAGTCCAAAAGTGTGGTTAACAAATGCTTGAATTGTCCTCTGCAGGAACTTATGTTTCCTTTCTCCGGGATTGCCCCATTTTCCTTATTCCAGCCATCTTGTGAGATGTTATAGGCTGAGCAAAAGTGCCAGGCCCATTTCAAAGTATGTGATCTTGTGTGTTGGCTTTCAGAGTATCTCTGTCCTTTCATTTTAGAGTCCAAACATTGAATAATCCAAAAGAGCCTTCCCCAATTTGTTGGCCTTCCAGAGAGCTGGACTCAACTCCCCTCCTTCCAGACAGCATGGATGATGGATGATGGGAGCTATATTCTAGCAACTAGAGGGTCACTAACTAGGGAAGGCTGGTCTATGAACCCAGCGCAGAGACTTTAGAAACATTTAGGAAGTGTTTGTTTTACCCAAGGAAGAGTAACCAAAGTAGGGAGTGAGGGGCAGAGAAGTATAAGAAATGAAATCTAGTGTGCAAGATGATTCATTGGCATTAAGAATTATTAAATATGTTGTTCATGTCTGGTTTCCTTCTGTTTCTGTTTTTGTGTTTTGGTCTCAGTCCCTGGGCTATATGGCAGAGATTGGTGAACCTCTTATCAACCAGTGCATAGAAGACCTACAGAGAAGCCCTTGCAAGGACCTCTTCAGCAGTTGTGTACAGTGAGTGCTGCATCCTATGGAACTGGAAGCCAGAGGGGCAAGGGGGTGGGCTTTGTTTCTTGTCAGAACAAGCTTGCATATGTTTATATAGAAGTCCCATTTTTTTGTATGATAAATCAGCCTCCTCCAATCTTCCAGATGTGTAGACCAACCCCAGAGTTCCCCAGCCCAAGTGACCATTGCTGAGAATTATGGGAGTTGAAGTGTATGGGTGGAGGGTGCCCAGTCATAGAACATTGGGATAAAACATGGGTGCCTTAACCATAATTTGCTAAAAACAAGACAGCGTCATAAATCATGGTTGAAGTTGGCTTATTTAAAACTCAAAGGGTAATTAAAATAACCACAATTTGTGGGATTTAAATGATGTGGCTAGATGCGGCTAATACACTCATGCAACACACTTACTCATAGTTAACCATATTGAACTCTGTCCAGTTTTCTGGGTTCATAACTACACTAATTCATAACCACATGGGCTGAGTTTGCACAAAATGCTATATTGAAATGATTTGGGTTGATCTGGGGCTCAGTATGTCATATAAAACAGCCAATAACTCCCAAACTCTTTTTTGTTTTTGTTTTTTTGTGCCCCCAGTGAAGGGAGAGGTGTGATGAGCTGAAAGGGGGGCTGAATTCATTCCCTTTACAATGAACTATGCTTAGTGTAGTTTTCCCCAATTACATATTCTTCAGATACATAGGGGCATCAGACTGAAGAAAACTGATTTTTTGTGATAACCAATTTGTAGCCAGTTTATCCAGTAGGGACTTAGTTCCTAAATGGCATTGGCTTTACATATTACATTAAGTTAAAGTTCGCTTAACCATGCTTTCTTGCATAAACCACAACACTGGATTCATATGTCACATTAAGCAATAAATCATGGTTTACAAACCATGATGGACAAGTCCATAATCCTGCTATCGATCTCAAACAAACCTGATTTTGGCTTTGTGCCATGTATGAACCCAACCTCAGTGGTGCATCTTGCATTTTGTAAGAAAACCACGACCAGCCAAGGTTGAGCTGTATTTCTTGCCTATTAATTCCAGGTTGGACAATTGTGGGCAAACGTAGCTTCAACCCCAAGAAAAAGCACTGGGTTTATATTACTATGGAAAACATCCTATCCCAGTGACTTTGGGAACCCCCAAAGAACCTACCTTCCTAAATCATAGGAAAAAGCTGCCCACTTTCAATTCCTTCTGTCTCCTAGGCGCCTGCATGAATACCTGGGTGGTGCCCCTTTCACAAATTACCAGGACAGCATGTATTTTGACAGATTCCTCCAATGGAAATACCTGGAGAGGTAAGACAATAATCTTGGGTGGCTGGAATCCAAGAATCCCACTCGTTTGCTGAGCTGATGCTGATAAGAATGGGTTTTCAATGATGCAGCGTGATCTTCTTGATATCTTTAGGCAATCGGTGACCAAAGACACCTTCAGGCAATACCGGATCCTAGGCAAGGGAGGCTTCGGAGAGGTAGGAAGTGGTGACAGCTTGGACTGGTTCCCCATTAGGGGTCAAGTGCAGCTTTTGACTCCTATAATTTCAAATTCATTACGATCATCTCTTTGGCCACCGTTATAACTAGGGATGGGCGAATATGCCAGAGTCAGTTTTGCTCAGTTCTCAGTTTTCCAACAAAAGCCTATTTCAGTCTTCTTCTGCATCAGTCCACAAACTTCCTCAAATGTAATCAGCACTTTTCCAGATTTGTGTGCTTTTGGGGTATATTGTTTGAATTACGAATAGCATCAAGAAATTCTGGAAAGTAGAAATTTTGTCATTCAAGTGTGCTGCACTTCAGGTCTAGGTTTATGAAGTGCATATGGGTTAGGTTTTCATCAAAATGAATCAAACTAATTTGCTGCTGTGGCTACTTATAACACATCTATTGTAGTCTGTCAAATGGTGAATCAACATAGTAATTCCTAGCAGTGAGCATGGGAGACTCACTGTTGCATGCAGAAGCTGTTTCAGACCAGAGTAGATTTATGTGACCAACCTATGAGCATGAACGCCTCCAAATTGTGATCCCAATTTTTAAAGAGGTAATATAATCCTATCCAGAAATGAGTGAGCCTAGTTTCTTCTAGCAAAGGAGACACCTCGTAAAATAGCCTCTATCTTCAGAACTACAGTAGTAATTCCAGACTTTGGAATCAGAGCTTCAGTAGTAATTCCAAACTCTAGATGGATATCACACCAAGCTATGATTGGTCTTGTTCAATAACCGACACTTGGCTGAATTCACACCTCTCTCTCTGGCCTGTAGTTTGCAACCCACTAAGTTAAAAGCAAGCATACAATATTATGGCTTAGGAGCACCCAGCATTAATTCAGCAGTTATGCTCCGTTACCTGAATCGGGCATAATGGAGAAACAGAGCATCTCATCTGCAAGTCCTCCAAAGAGGTCACAGTCAATGAGTTTCGGGTAGTTGTGAAAAACTATGGGAGAAAAGTCTCACAGTGACATTTATGGAAAGCAGCATTTTTGGCAGGAGTAGATGGTGCTTATAAATCATTCCAACCAGAGAAGCATTGGAGGCCACCAAAATATCCAAGAAATCAGGAAAGTCCCACTCATCCTGTCCTCTTCTGGGCCACTGGAAGTCCTGAAATGAGATTAAAATAAATCTAGAGAACTCTAAGAAAGAAGGGGGTGGAGAAGGATGTGTGCCAGTGCTTCAGCTCTACTTCCTTCTTCTCTGATGTTCCTGTTTTGATGGGGAAGGTCTGCAGAGAAGCTAAATGTGACCACAACTTTCCATGAGGGCTGGAGCCCAACAAACCCAATTCCAATTCCATGGAGAGTTGCAACTTCATTCAATTAAACATGTTTACACACTTTTTCTACATTTTTTTTTTTTTTTGGTCAAGACAGATCAGGCTGGGGAGGGGGGGGGGGGGGTTTACGTATA